AGTATAGTCATTTTCACAATATTGATTCTTCCAATCCAAGAACATGGTATATCTCTGCATCTATTTGTATCATCTTTAATTTCTTTCATCAGTGTCTTATAATTTTCTGCATACAGGTCTTTTGTCTCCTTAGGTAGGTTTATTCCTAGGTATTTTATTCTTTTTGTTGCAATGGTAAATGGGAGTGTTTTCTTGATTTCAATTTCAGATTTTTCAACATTAGTGTATAGGAATGCCAGAGATTTCTGTGCATTAATTTTGTATCCTGCTACTTTACCAAATTTGTTGATTAGCTCTAGTAGTTTTCTGGTAGCATCTTTAGGATTCTCTATGTATAGTATCTTGTCATCTGCAAACAGTGACAGCTTTACTTCTTCTTTTCTGATTTGGATTCCTTTTATTTCTTTTTCTTCTCTGATTGCTGTGGCTAAGACTTCCAAAACTATGTTGAATAATAGTGGTGAGCGTGGGCAACCTTGTCTTGTTCCTGATCTTAGTGGAAATGGTTTCAGTCTTTCACCATTGAGGATGATGTTAGCTGTAGGTTTGTCATATATGGCCTTTATCATGTTGAGATAATTTCCCTCTATGTCTACTTTCTGGAGGGTTTTTTATCATAAATGGGTATTGAATTTTGTCAAAAGCTTTCTCTGCATCTATTGAGGTGATCATATGGTTTTTCTTCTTCAATTTGTTAATATGGTGTATCACGTTGATTGATTTGTGTGTATTGAAGAATCCTTGCATTCCTGGGATAAACCCCACTTGATCATGGTGTATGATCCTTTTAATGTGCTGTTGGATTCTGTTTGCTAGTATTTTATTGAGGATTTTTGCATCTATGTTCATCAGTGACATTGGCCTGTAGTTTTCTTTCTTTGTGACCACTTATTGAAGACACTGTCTTTTCTCTATTGTATATTTTTGTCTCCTTTGTTGTAGATTATTTGACCACATGTGTGTGGGTTTATTTCTTGGTTCTCTATTCTATTCCACTGATTTATGTCTGTTTTTGTTCCAGTACCACACTGTTTTGATTACTGTAGCTTTGTAGTATAGTCTGATGTCAGAGATTGTGATACCTCCAGCTTTGTTCTTTTCTTTCTCAAGATTGTTTTGGTATTTGGGGGTCTTTTGTGGTTCCATATAAATTTTAGGATTATTTGTTCTTAGTTCTGTGGAAAATGTCAGGGTATTTTGATAGGGATTGCATTAAAACTGTAGATTGCTTGGGTAGTGTGGACATTTTAACAATAGTAATTCTTCCAATCCAAGAACACAAGATATTTTTCCATTTCTTTGTATCATTTTCAAATTCCCTCATCAATGTTTATAGTTTTTAGAGTATAGGTGTTTCACCTCCTTGGTTAATTTTTTCTGAGGTATTTTATTCTTTTTGACATACTTGTAAGTTGGATTGTTTCCTTAATTTCTCTTTCTAATAGTTCTTTATTAGAGTATAGAAAAGCAACAGATTTCTGTATATTAATCATGTATCCTGCAACTTTAGTGTATTCATTTCTTAGTTCTAATACATATTCAAACAGAAACACGTGCACAAATGTTCATAGCAACAGTATTCACACTAGATAAAAGCTGAAAACAACACAAATGTCCATCAACTGATTACCAGATAAACAAAATGTGGTATATCCATACAATGAAATATTATTCATCCATAAAAAGGAATGAAGTGCTGATACATACTAGAATAAGGATGAGCCTTGAAGCATTATACTAAGTGAAAGAAGCCAAACACAAAAGGCCATGCATTTTATGATTCCATTTACATGAAATGTCCAGTACAAACAAGTCCATAGAGACAGAAAGATTAGTGATTCTAGGAGTGAATGGGGAGTAACTGCTTAATGGGAACACAGCTTCCTTTTTGAGTGATGAAAATGTTCTGGAACTAGATAGGGGTGATGGGTGCACAACACTGTGAATGTACTAAAAATCTCAATGAATTGTACACTTTAAAATGGTTTAAATGGTGAGTTTCATGTTATGTGAATTTTACCTCAATTTAAAAAATACTATTGGGTTTTAATTGAAATTACATTTAATTTGTATTACTATTTATACAAATTTCATTTTTATTATGTGACTTCTTCCCATCAGAGGACATGATTTGAGTATTTGTTTGGGTATCATCTTATGTTCTTTTTTAAAAATCGAGGTATAGGGCTTCCCTGGTGGCACAGTGGTTGAGAGTCCGCCTGCTGATGCAGGGGACATGGGTTTGCACCCCGGTCCAGGAAGATCCCACGTACCGCGGAGTGGCTGGGCCCGTGAGCCATGGCTGCTGAGCCTGCGCGTCCGGAGCCTGTGCTCCGCAACGGGAGAGGCCACAACAGTGAGAGGCCCGCGTACCGAAAAAAAAAATATTGAGGTATAATTGTCATATAACATTGTGCAAGTTTAAGGTATACAACAAATTGATTCGATACATTTATATAGTGCAAAATGATCACCACCATAGCATCAGCTAACACCTCTATTCCATCACATAATTATCATTTATTTTTAGTCGTGATAATGGTTAAGATCTAGTCTATTAGCAACTTTGAAGTTTATAATATAGTATTGTTGACTATAATCACTATGCAGCGGATTCGACTTCTTGGATTTATTTACTAGTTGAAAGTTTTTACTCTTAAATAACATCTCCCCAATTCCTCCAGCCCCCAGCATTCTACTCTCTATATTTATGAGTTTGGCTTTTTTAGAGTGTACATATAAGTGATTCATACAGTATTTGTCTTTCTCTGTCCGACTTCACTTACTATAGTGCTCTCAAGATCCATTCATGTTGGCACAAATGGCAGGATTTCCTTCTTTCTCATGGCTAATATTCCATTTTGTGTGTGTGTGTGTGTGTGTGTGTGTGTGTAAAACCACATCTTCTTTATCTATTCATCCACTGATGGACACTTAGGTTATGAACCTAAATGTCTGTTTTATGTTCTTTGATGAGATTTTGTAGTGTTTTGTTTTTATATTGATTCTATACCTTTTGCATTAAATTATTTCTAAATATTTTATACTTCTGTCACTATTGTAAGTGGAATATGCTACTAATATCCATTTCATTCTGGTTATTGCTAACATAGAAAAGCTATTTCTTTAATGTTTGATTTGTATTTAGCCATCTTACCAAAATAGCTCATTAATTCTAGTAATTGTTTTTCTATACTTTCTTGGTTTTTCTAAGTATACAATTATATTGTTACTTCTCTTACGATAATTATACTGATTGCTTTATGTTGTTGTCTTCCTCCACTTGCTAAATCCTCAAAAAAATGTCAACTATAATAGTAATTGTAGGCATTTCTGTCTTGTTCCTAAACTTAATGTAAAAACTGTAGAGTCACCATTTAGAATGATGTTTTTTCTTGTCTTACTGATCAGTACATTCAGCACAATGTTGAAGTGCAGTAGTGATCATGATTATCTTCATCCTTTACTGATTTTAAAGGAAATAGTGCTAACATTTCACCATTTAAAATGATGCTTGCTGAAAATTTTTGATGGATACTTTTGACCAAGTTAAAGAAATTAATAAATTCATTTAACAAATATTTACTGAATACTTAATAAGTGTCAGGTACTATTCTAGGCACTTGGGACACATCAGTGAATAAAATGGGCAAAAGCTCTCTGCCCTAGCACAGCTTACATTTTAGTTAAGGAAGACAGCAAATAAGCAAGATAAAAAGCAAAATATAAACTATTTTAGATGATGATAAATACTAAGAAAAAGTAAAGCAAGGGAGGGAAGTAGTGAGTGTTAGGGCCAGGGGAAAGGTTGCAATGTCCGACAAGGTGGCCAGAGAAAGTCCTCACTTAGGAGGATATATCAGATTAAAATACCTGAAAGAAGAGGGGGAGAGGGCCATGTGAATAAATGAGGGAAAGCACTTTATTTAGGGGCAGACCAACTGAAAAGGACCTGGGGTGGGAGCTTGTCAGGCCTATTTGAAGAAGAGCAAGGAGGTCAGTGTGAAGTGAAGTAAGGAAGAGAGTAGGAAGAGATGAGAGCAGAAGGTAAGCTTGGGTCAGATCACACTGGCCCTTGTAGACCACTGTGAAGACTTGGGCTCTGAGTCTGAATGATATGGAGACATTGCAAGGTAATGAGTAGGAAAGAGACATGATATGACTTAAGTTTTAACATGACTGCTCTGGCAGCTGGTGGAGAATATCCTGGGAGTGTGAGGGATAAGCATGGGAGAGGGGGGATAATCAAAAAGTGTTGCAGTAATATAGGCTTTGGACCAGGCAGGGAGCAGTGGAGGTGGTGAGTAGTGGACAGATTCTGGATACATTTTGAAAGGTAGTCTGGCTGGAGTTGCTAATGGATCAAATGTGGGCATGGAGAGAAAGAGGGATCAAAGAAGATGGCTAAGTGTTTGGCTCAACCATTTCTAGTTGCTAGTGTGGGGTTTTATGAATAGGAATTGATTTTCACTGAACACTTTTGGGGCATCTATTCATGATCATACGGTTTTCCTTATTTAATTTGTGAATGTGGTAAATTACATTATTACATTAATTTATTATGCTAAATTAACTTTGTATTACTAAGAGGAGGACATCTTGGCTACTTTTCCCCCATCCTCTCCATCCTCTTTATTCTTTTATGTATTTTGTTATTTGAAGCCATGTTTTTTCCTACTACTTATCTTTGAAAATGTATTACCACCATATCTTCTTCCAAACAGGCTTTTAGGAGCAAGTATGGGGACCCAACAGCCATTTGAAACATTGTTTCTATAGATAAATGAGCTTTGAATTCCAAACAGCTGGTTTCCCTGTGAACTTCAGAAGCTAAAGTATTCTCAGAGTGGGAAAAAAAACATATTTCCAATGAAAGGTTTCTCAGCACCTTCAGTTTCCAGCACAATTTTCCAAAACTTCTCTCAGTAGAGTGCAACAAAGACACCAGGTCTACGTCTTGTTATGGGTGAATGTTATGTGCAGTGATGTTTCTTTTTAAGGTATCCTCACCTGAGTCCCAAGAACAAGGAGTCTTTTGATGTGGGCTGTAACCTCTTTGCCAAGTTTTCTGCATACATTAAGAACGCACAAAAAGAGGCAAATAAGAGTAAGATACCTTTCTTTAAGTCTTTTCGTTTTTCTCACTCACATGCTCACTCTCATATTCTGACTCAACTAAAATAGGACTTTCCTGAATATATAGTATATATTGGGGAATACTCTTCATCTCACTCTCTGTTCTCTCTTCTGAAATTCCTTGCATGAAGTTTTATTGGATTTAGAATCTAATATTCAATATAGGAATCACCAACTTAGCTCTATTAGAACATTGACATGCCAGGGGTGAACTAACTGCTGGACTGTATTTCTTAACCCCCCCAACTTTCTCACTCTTGTGTACCTTTAAGGTTTCTTAAACCATAGCACCTACCATTTCTCACAAACACTCTCGAATAGGTTTACTATTCTCTGAATCATGAGAGCTATTAGTCTCTGATTCCACTTTCTGACTCTTCTTGAGTGATAATATATATTACCTTTCTTTTTCTTTGACTCTCCTCCCAATTTACCTCCTCAAGAAGAGTCCAAAAATATGTCTACTCACCATTTGATTAAACATCTGATTCTGTCTTATCAGTGGGTAGTTGAGCATTCTAGTTAAGTATATAGAGATGCCTAAATGTGTGAAAAGCATATTGGGAATGTATTTAGTCATGAAGACTGCACATTTATAAGTAACCCTTTGACTTCATTGCCTCAGATTTTGAAAAATCTCTGCTCAAAGAATTTAAGCGTCTGGATGACTACTTGAACACCCCACTTCTAGATGAAATTGATCCAGACAGTGCTGAGGAACTCACAGTTTCCAGAAGATTGTTCTTGGATGGGGATCAGCTGACACTGGCTGACTGCAGTTTGTTACCCAAACTGAACATTATTAAAGTAAGTCTTCATAGGGCAGGCTGAATGATTGAGAGGAGTTTGGGAGTTGCCAACAGGAAGCACAGTGACCATTCAGTGTGAGTTTTTATATGAGGGCTTTGTCATCATCATTATGCATAGGGTATGTCTCCTTTTTCTCCTCAGAGGAAAAATCCATAATGATCTTCTCTGGGAAGCATAAAAACTTCTTGTTTCTTTCTTCCTAAATCAGAAGGTGTTTTCCACTGTCTTGTCTATAAAACAAGGGTAATAGCACCCATTTCACAGAACTGTTGAGAAAATTAAATTAAGGCATATGGAATATTAGAAAAGTGTCTGGATCATAACAAGTGATAATAAAGTGAGCTATTAATATTATTATTATTATTAACTAATCGTCCATTTAACAAGTTTTTATTGAACAGACCTTATTTTATCTCAGGTCCTATGCCAGACACAAAGAATACATAAAGAAGTAAGACACTGTCGAACCCTAAACAGTGAAAAGATCTGTGCTCTTTTTCTGTGCTTCCTTCTTCTAAACATTCATAATTAAATACACCATAAATATAATAAAAATGATTACAAGCATGGAGTTTTGTCTACATTTGTAGACAAAACATTAAAATAATAAATCCAAGATTCTTTAAGTTTATTTTGTAGTACTTTTTGTGTAGGTAACACGTCCTCAATGATCCTAATTTTTGACATATGTTTTTACACACTAGGCATTTTACTGATGCCCCTCACTACCAATTGCTTTTTCCTCTTTTTTTCCAAAACCCTAGGTTGCTGCAAAGAAATACCGTGATTTCGACATTCCAGGAGAATTCTCAGGAGTCTGGCGCTATCTCCACAATGCCTATGCCCGTGAAGAATTTACCCACACGTGTCCTGAAGACAAAGAAATTGAAAATACCTATGCAAGTGTGGCTAAGCAAAAGAGTTAGGACAGCTCTTTCAGTAGAAAAACCTCTCTTTTCACTTGTTATCATATTAGAAAATCTTTTGGAAATAAGAATATGGAAAATATGGTTTCCTCTATCCAACTTTCTTATGAAAAAGAATGCTATATTTTCTGTATCTAGTTAATCCAAACTATCTGCTCACTGTGTATTTTAAAGGTCTTCATATTTTCATTTCGCCTTTTAATTCCCATGGCACAACCACTGCGATCTTAAATGATATGGAAAGTATCAATATCTTTTGCTAGAATGCATCATGTGTGCAAGCTCAACAGATGGCTGAAGTTACAAATGACATACAGTCACAGTCTCAAACTGTTCCTTAGAAATATTTACATCTAAATCATTAAAACAATTTTACTAAGAAATTTGACTGACCAAAAGTTCTTGTTGCTGTCCATTAAAGGGTTAAGTAAACCATTCTTAAAGGATAATCACAAATCTTTCTACAGAATTTAAAATGTTCCATTACTATCTGTACTCAAATATACATGTTAAAATACAATCAAATCACTCAAATCTGAAAACAAAAACTGAACTTTACTTTTGCTCCTTCAAAAGAGAAACAAAGTTCAGCCTCAAAAAAGAGAGATAGGTGTTTTTAGAGGTCTTGGTGGGATTTACATGAAATTTATTTATTTATTTTTTGGCCATGCTGCAGGGCATGTGGGTTTCAGTTCCCCAAACAGGGATGGAACCCATGCCCCCTGCAGTGGAAGCTCAGAGTCTTAACCACTGGACCACCAGGGAAGTCCCTAGATAAAATTTAAATAAAGCAGTGTTTTCATAGGTTCAAAGAAAAGTAAGGCAATGAGTAAAGAGTTAACAGGCCTGGAACAGGCACACGAAAAAATGCTCATCATCGCTAATTATTAGAGAAATGCAAATCAAAACTACAATGAGGTACCAGCTCACACTGGTCAGAATGGCCATCATTAAAAAGTCTACAAATAAATGCTGGAGAGGGTGTGGAGGAAAGGGAACTCTCCTACACTGTTGGTGGGAATATAAGTTGGTACAGCTACTATGGAAAACAGTATGGAGGTTCCTCAAAAAAACTAAAAACAGAGTTGCCATATGATCCAGCAATCCCACTCCAGGGCATATACCCAGACAGAACTTTAATTTGAAAAGATACATGCATCCCTATTTTCATAGCAACACTATTCACAATAGCCAAGACATGGAAACAACCTAAATGTCCATCAACAGATGAATGGATAAAGAAGATGTGGTGTGTGTGTGTATATAGATATAGATAGATAGATATAGTGGAATATTACTCAGCCATAAAAAAGAATGAACTAATGTCACTTGCAGCAATGTGGATGGACCTAGAGATTGTCATACTAAGCGAAGTAAGTCAGAAAGAGAAAGACAAATATCATATGATATCACTTATATGTGGAATCTAAAATACGACATAAATCAACATATCTACGAAACAGACTCACAGACATAGACAACAGACTTGTGGTTGCCAAAGGGGGGCTTGGGAGGGAATGATTGGGAGTGTGAGATTAGCAGAGGCAAACTATTATATATCGGATGGATGGATAAACAACAAGGTCCTACTGTATATAGCTCAGGGAAGTATATTCAATATCCTTTGATAAACCATAATGCAAAAGAATATGTATATACATGTATGTATAACTGAGTCACTATGATGTACAGCAGAAATTAGCACAGCATTGTAAATCAACTATACTTCAATAAAATTAAAAAACAAAAAGAGTTAACAGGCCTGGGTATAGAAAGGGCTCAATGCACTGTCCTTGGAGCCAGAGTTAAGATAAATACATAATGTTGTGTCCCCTCTTTGATGGAAGACTCTGATCTGAGACAATTGTACCTGGACGAGATGGCAAGGTTGTGACTTCTCTGAACATCTCAGATCCTTTTATTCTTACTGATAGGATTTCAAAGAGTCAACTTTTTTAAGATCTATGATTTTAAAGAACAAAGTTTCTCGGGACTTCCCTGGAGATCCAGTGGTTAAGACTCCCTGCTTCCACTGCAGGGGGCACAGGTTCAACCCTGCTTGGGGAACTAAGATCCCACATGCCCCCCAGTGTGGAAAAAAAGAAAGAAACAACGAAAGAAACAAAGAAAGAACAAAGTTTCTCAGTACCATGCCCTTAAACTCAGTAATAGAAGCAGTCTTTTACAGATTACACCATACTTAAAAGTGTATTCAGGGGCTTCCCTGGTGGCGCAGTGGTTGAGGGTCCGCCTGCCGATGCAGGGGGCACGGGTTCGTGTCCCGGTCCGGGAGGATCCCACATGCCGCGGAGCGGCTGGGCCCGTGAGCCATGGCCGCTGAGCCTGCGCGTCCGGAGCCTGTGCTCTGCAATGGGAGAGGCCACCACAGTGAAAGGCCCACATATCACAAAAAAAAAAAAAAAAAAAAGTGTATTCATGTCATTGCAAAGCTGCAAGTAAGTCTTATCCAACTTCATAGGTACTGATACAGCTCAGAATTACCCTCCTAGACGAAAGGATTATTATCTTCTTAGATGACATTAATACAATTCAATTCAGTAACTACTTATTGAATACTTACTATGTTATTATTATTTAGTTATTTAATCTTCACAACAACTTCATGCCAAAGGAACAGTCCCTATTCTCATGAAACATGCACTTCAATAATGGAGACAGGCAATTAGACGTGCAATTACAATACGTATGTGTTACGAAAAGAGTAAGCACAAGGCTACATAACAGAAGTACATCCTTATGTGTTCCCCCAGCCTGACCTCAAACAAGTTCCACTTGGTCATATAGCCTTTGCATAGCACAACCTCTGTGAAAATTCTTAGAGATGTGTTTTTATGAGAAGTTAAACTTTTTTCCCACTTGGGCAGACACATGACTCCAAAGCATGGTCCTGGATGAACGTAGCATCAGCAACCTGTTCCCCTACTGATGTAAATTACCCAATATGAGAAAGGGAATTTTTATTCATTAGTGTCAAATTTTTAAAAATAAAAAGGAAAATTTTTTCTAATTGTGAAAGCATTACATGTTGGTGCAAACATAGATAGTAGTGGAATAGAGATTCTAAACATAGAGAGATGTATGAAAACTTACTATCTGATAATGTGGCATTTCTGATCAGTGGTGAAACACTAGAACACAATTCAGCTGTGTTTTTTGACACTTTATGAAAAGGATGGCCTTTCCTCCAGTGTCCCATAACATGTTCCTCATTTCTTTGTGAGAGCTCACCAGAAGCACCTTTAGCATTCACATTTCTAGTGACATTCTTGTCACGATGATATGTGTATTCTCCAAGATGACAGAATATTTCTCTACTGCTCTTCTCTCTTCTTTCTGAGCCCAGCCCTCGCCAGAATCACCTATAATGTCCATATTTCTAGCATGCACCTCAAAACTCTTCCAGCCTCTATACATTGCCCACTTACAAAGTTGCTTCCACATGCTTAGCTATTTGTTAGGGCAGCACCCCACTTCTCAGTACCAAAATTTGTCTTAGTCTGCTCAGGCTGCCATAACAAAATACCATAAACTGGCTGGCTTAAATAACAGACATTTATTTTTCATAATTCTGGAGGCAGAAGTCTGAGATCAGAGTGCCAACATGGTCAGATTCTGGCAAGAACTCTCACCCTGGTTTGCAGACAGCTGCCTTCTCACTGTATCCTCACATGGTGGAGAGAGAGAGGAAGCAAGCTCTCTGTTGTCTCCACCTTCATGACCTCATCTAACCCTAATTATCTCCCAAAGGCCCCATCTCCAGATACAGTCACATAGGGGGGTTAGTGTTTCAACATATGAGTTCTGGTGGAGGAGGCACAATTTTAAAACAAGGCTGCCATTTATAATAAAGAAGTAGGTAAGTGTATAGCAGCCAAGTGTCTGGGGATAGGCTTTCTTTTATACAAGTTACAAACTTAAGATCACCTCCAAGATATGCTTTGTGATCAACACAGCTGGAAGGGCCTTGAGGTAAGGAACAAAATACCTTGTGAATTCAGCAGAGTAGGGGATGGTAGATTTGGTTTTCATAAGTTAGGAAACTTCAAAAAGACTATTCAATAAGACTTCCAGTTGCTGAAGGCAATGGTGGCTGCCTTGGTCTATGTCTCCCAATATTTCCTCCAAAAACAATACAGAATAACAAGAACACATTTTAAAAGGCACTAAAACCACATGGTAAACATAACTTGAAGACAGAAAAATACCCAAACCTCAATATGACTCTAAGTTAAAAAAAAAAAAAAAGAAAAAAATACCAAATCCCAGCAAGGACTTGATTCAGACTTTCAAAAAATTGATTAAAAAATGGAGAAAATTACTCAAACTATGAAAATAAATGGAAGAAAAAGATAAAATTATCTCAGAACTGAGGATAAATTAAAAGGTTCCCAAGCAAAAATGGACTCAAGAAAATTTAATAACATGCATGGGAAAAGGCAGAAAAATAACTGAGAGAATGAAAATGACATCTAGAACGAAGTAAAAAGGATCAGAAAGACAAGCAAAAAAGGAAAAGCAGTTGTAAAATTGGAATCACTGGGAAAGAAAAGCAAAACAATGGAACAGAATTAATATTTAAAAGATTTAAACCTATAATCCAAGAAAACTTTCCAAAATTAAAGACCTCAGTCCACACATTGAAAGGTCTCACTGGGTTCCTAGGAAAATTAACCAAATTGATCAATCCAAGGCATATCCTAGTAAAACTATTAGACATGAAAGATAAAGAAAATATATCCTTAAGACCTCTAAGCAAAAAGATCAAATAACCTGTGAAGGTAAATTAATTAACCTGGTGCCAGGCTTTCCAAAACAACATACAAAGCAAGGAAGGCAACAATGAAGTAGCATTTTCAAGAAACTTAGGGAAGAGAGTGTGAGCCAAGAATTTTATATCCAGTGAAACTAGTCTTTAAATATCAAGGTTACGGAAAAAGAAAAAGTTTTAAACAAACCAGTACTTAGATAATGCTGTGTCAATGTGCCCATAAGCAATTTTTAAAAGGTATAGGTACTAACATTATGCAAACATTACTGTTTAGGGAAGTTATGTGATGGGTAAAATACTGTACTGTTTTTGAAACTTCTTTTGATTCTGTAATTACTTCAAAATAAAAAGTTTCAAAAAGGTATAAGTACAAAGGTACTTGTAGAAAAAATACAAACCTCTTTGAATGCTAAAATAAATAAGTAAATTTAAAAAGTAAGCATAGAAAGCACATCTTGTAGAGAAGGAAACATAAAATATAACATTGTATACATAATTGTAAGTTATGACTAAATTGAGGCAAGCATGTCAGTTAGATCAATAAATGTGAATGGGCTTAATTTATCCATTAAAAGAAGAAACTTTTCAATTTGA